AAAAGTTATATTCTAATAATTTAACTTCATAATTTTGCAAAGTATCTTAATGTAAATTAATATAAAAGTTTTATGATGTATGTTCCTGTTTGACCTTATTTCAAACAGTTTTAAAATTACAATAATTTAAATAAAGTTTCTCGTAGAATACGTTTCAGAAAATTTGGCCACCACGAGCATTACCTTGGCTAAATATAAAGTGACCTAATCATACTATAAATACGTGAAAAACATACTTACTTTTCTCGTGCTTGATTATCGGAGGGTACAGTCGAACCTTTTCCCTTCGCATACATGCTTTAAGGTTAAACTGTCACACACCTGTCAAGACATTCACGATGATTTTGTCCTTGTTACCATAGAAACATCAGTTCATCTGTCACAGACATCAATGTGATTGGGCTCACTTCTTCTCGTGCTCAGAGTTCACCCCAAATCATTTGCTTACGTCACAGATGAGTTTAATTGAGAAGTCTCATTGGTTGTACCGCGCTGCGCGCCAGAAGCGTAGCACCTCCCTGAAATATTTATTTACCAATGACAACTATATTTATACAGTAAAAATTTACTTTTATCTCATCTCAGTGAAAACATATTAATTTGTAATTGAATTATTAGAAACTTTATTATTTGTAATTTACTTAGAAGTATTACCAAAATCAAATATTTTATTGAGGGAAGCAAACAATACTGAGAACAGCCGTATACGTAAAAGCGTAAGGCGAAATGCCAGCTGACCTGAGCCTGTACTTGACTGAAGAAAACTTTTGGAAGAGAAGTTGTTTTCTTTGTAGCTTAGATTTTAAATTACAAGTTACTTTAACATTAATTATTGTAATATAATATTTTTTCGCTTTAGAGTTATTATAGCATTTAATTTTCATTTTATTAGTATAACATGCCTGCCCAAAATAAAGAATGGTATTACTATTAATAATTCGGAAATGTAGATATATTGTTTAGATACTTTTTAAATTATATAACTTGAAAGAGAAAATTAATTTCTAAACAAAACATTTAAACTATATTTGTACCACCAACAACAATAATTAGTACTTTAAACATTTTCGTAATGCCTCTATTCAAAAATGAGCTCATCCATCCAATTCGTCACTTCCGCATTGAGCGAGTTCTGAACTTCAGGCCCAATGTCAGGCTACATTAGTTGGGAAAATTTTCTTTTTGAAATCAAGAATTTTCAAGCGGCATCTTCAAGTCTTCGTGATGGCTGGGAACTTAGAGTTTTAAAGGTTGAGTATACCTTAATTACTTACAGCTCAAATTAGTTTTTATTCGTGAGCTAAATTGTATATCTTTAGCAGCCAAACGTTGTCTGCGCAGACGTACTGTTTACTGCTTATTCCCACCACGCGGCGAACGTCTGCTGAGTGTAATACCTTGGGTTTGAAACAAAACGTGTAAAGAGAGATGTTATCTCTCAGAAATCTCTTCATCATGTTAATATTACTTGCTTTGCTCATGCCTAAGTATGTCTACCCATAAAATAAACTTTACTATATTAAGTCCCCATTTTCTCTGTCTACTTGATTATGTGGTCCTCTAATGTTTGATTTATGTCATACCTCAAGTTTAAGCTGCACGTACTTGAGTTTTATTTACATTTTTGTCGATCAAGACCTCCTTTCTACTCGAACATTCGTAGGATAAGACTTCTTAGGTGCTTTAGGCAGTAGACTTTTTCTAGATTGATTACATTGGAAATTTCGTTCTTTGATATTCCTAAGCATGGGTACCCCCAGAAATATTCTCTGGGGGGGGGGGAGTAAAACACCTATGTAGGGGATCAGCTTTTGTATGTTTTGTATGCTTAAACGCAAAAACAAATTTACAGTTTTAATAGAAATTACTAAAAATATTTAGTTTAACGAAGACGTTAAGTTTGGATCATAATGCGTGCAATTTTTTGAGAAATGTAAGGGGGGCAAATGCCCCTTTCTGCAGGTGCCCATGTGGATAAGATCCCCCCCCCCCCACACACACACGTTTGTAATACCACTCCTCACCCTCAAGTACTAGAGATTGTTTTTCCTTTTTGCCTTATGTCAAAGGTGATAGATAAGTCTTCAATAATTTAATATTATCAATTATTATATATCTACCTTTCTTTTAATATAAACTCCTCCCTCCAACCCCCCCCCCTCCAGTGGCACAGCGGCATGTCTGCGGACTTACAACGCTAGAATCCGGGGTTTCGATACCGTGGTGGGCAGAAAACATATAGCCTATTGTGTAGCTTTGTGCTTAATTACAAACAAACCCTCCAAAAATAAATAACGAAGCCCTTAACCCTGCATCGAGGTAAGAAAATGCTAATATAAGATCATTTTTCTGATAAAAAATAACTTTCACATTATTTTTCCCATAATGGGTAAAAGAGATATTAATGTTTCGTTTTGTGAATAATTTATGCGCCACTAGTGGCGCTTTGATCGAGCTTTATACCACGAAAACAATTTTTGCTTGCAACTATCTCCTATATTCGGACATTATAAAAATTACTTGCACTTTTATTATTAATAATATGAAATAAGCATAGACAGAAATTAATAACTAATTTTGCATATGTTTGGTATGATGAGTTAAATCTACTAAATAGCAACGGAAAGGGTGATGGGATACCGCGGATATATAGGTGTAATTCAGTAGCATTTCTGTATATATATTTCAGTTTTTATCACAGAAACTGTATTAAATCTCGCGGTGTTTTGACCTGACTTTAGCACCTGATGCAAGAATTTTCTCCAGCACAGTCAATACAGTATCGACCTGATGGTGTTGCCATTTTTACTCCTCGATGGGCCAAGTATTGATCACCCTAGCTTGCGCTTGAACAAAACTCAGCTACTCCAGGAAAGAATAATGCAGCAACCACGTGGTTTGAAAGTCGTTATATAAGTTTGTTATACATAGTAGAAAACATGATTTGCTCTCAAAATGAGTTAGGTACACTTTCGTAATTGTTTTTCAATAATAGTGCACCATGGTTCATAATTAAATGGGATAGTAATAACATCAAGTTATAAAAAGTGCGTTCTTAGTGTGAAATGTTTAATTAGCACGAACAATTAACCATTTGGTAAATTTAAAATATTTTAAACTAATTCGCTAGATGGCGCTAAGTGTAATAAATACGTTTAATAACGTTAGCCATAGGTACATGGGTGTTTTATGTGTGTTCGTATCTGATATGTACAACCATTGCAAGATAAAACTGCCTAATCATTTCATCTGAATCTCTTATTGTATTTAAAATATTACTAACGTTATTTTTTAAACTATTTTCACAGACTTATCAATATATTCGTGCAAACAATATAAACATTTACCATAAAATTTAGGTAACATGAAAATATCGGTTCATTCTCCTAGTGTATAAAAATGACATGCATTCTAATATTTAATAAATTGTTAAAGACTCGATAACCCTCGTTGCAAATTGCACTACGCTTAAAGTAGCACTGTCCTTTAAAGCTGGGCAAATCTACATGCTGAGGAAACTGTTAAACATATCTTATAACCTTCAAGTTGAGCACAAAACAGAAGTCTGATGTAACAATCTGTGAAAGTACACTTTCAGTCATATGTGTTATATGCATAATTACATGGCAGGGATAAAGAAATACATACCATAAACTGTTTTAATACCATAACTTTACTTAGGAATGATAAAAATGTGAAAATTGATACACGTGCTCTTTGTGAACATCCTAATAGCTTGAATTTAAAACTTTGCAAATATTCTGCAACGTTAACGAGCTATGGGCAATTAATTTTAATTGATGCCTTCATAAGTGGTAATTAGACTCGTGACAAGACAATTTGTAAAGATTTTTGAATTTTTAAAAAATGCAAGGTATGGGAGAGTGTTATATCAACAAGTGTGCTAAATTTCATGCTGATATTGGTTTTAATGGTTATCATGCTAATAAATTGGTGACCGCAGTGAAAACTACATTTTGAGAAAATAGCCGTTAAGACAAAAACGAGTTATTTATGTAGAAAAGAGATTAAACCTTCAATTTAGACTAAATTTGACAAATGTGATTTTTGAAATGTTGTTGGCGCTCTTTAAGGGTCACTGTTACCTTAAATCATTCCGAACTTGATGAATGGTAAAGGAAGGCTTGTATCTGATAATTATGAGATGGCTTGGTTACTGAATTCTGCTTTGTCTTGAGTTTTTACTAATGAAGATTTAAGCAGTATTCCTCATCTTGAACAGTTGATAAATGAAAACAAGGTCGTACAATATGGTTTCATTAATTCGGAGCCTGTTAAGAAAAAATTGGGAAGTTTAAAAAATTGTAAGGCATTGTTACGACAACGAAAGTCACGCAACACTGGGAGCATGTGCGCTGGAGTTTCTCGAAGGATCATGAATTATTGGGGAAGACCGAGTTTGTTTGAGGCGCCCGCTTTTTTAGTATATAAACCTGGCGAGAAAAACCAGCGCGATTGAAGAGATATAGATAGATCGGAGAGATAGATAATTGAGTCAAGCGAACAGCAGGCACCGTAAGTAAACTGTGTGAATGAATCACTGTGATTTATAGCGTGTGTTATAAAAGTTGTTAACTTAAAGTGACTGTAGAAATTCTATGTATTACTAAAAGTTGTATCGAGAAAGAATAAACTGGTTTAATCAAGAAAGGACTTGTATCGCTGTAGTTCCTCGGAAATAATTTCTACGGTAAATTAACAAACAGGCAGATACGCAACAGCTTCTTGGACAGATAATATTTCCCCAAATATTTTGAAGGAAGTTAAGGATTGGATATATGAGACACCTGCTACTATTTTTTGATACCAAAATGTACCAAAAAATTTGAAGTTAGCTAATGTCACTCCTCTTTTCAAGGGAGGTAATAAAAATTGTCCCAGTAGTTATAGGTCTATTAGTCTTACATCAGTTGCGGGAAATGTTTTGGAAAGTCTGATAAAAGATGCTTTCCAAAGTCATTTAACGAGGTCTAGAATTTTATTGGATATTCAACATGG